TAGAGAGAGAGAGAGAGAGAGAGAGAGAGAGAGAGAGAGAGAGAAATTATCCTGGGAGATACGGTTATACACAAATTATCCAAGGAGAGTTAATGAAATAATTTTACAAATGCTATTATACGAGTTTGTGAAAAATAATATGCATAATGATGAATTTTTCCCAAGGAGAAGTATTCCCTGACGAATCAAACGCCATTTTTATGTGAGAATAGAAGAAAAGGTTCCCAAATTAACAGGTAGGTGAAAACAAAAAAGAACAAATGATTTTGCAATTTTAGAAGAAGTTATTTTATTTGGGTTTGTGATAGCGATGATTTGGTTATCAGCCCCTCAAATTCTAGGTCCAAAAAACATCTCTAAGATGGATGGTGGAGATGCACGTAAATGGATGAGTCAGTTGACTCACCAAAATTATATCCTTTTCTGAAACTCAGATACTGAGGGTTATCAATCGGCGCCAGTTCCACTGTTTTGAATCTCAGGCATTCACTGTACAGTCTAAATCTATATTTTGAAAAATTGAAAGTATGTCATTGCAATGGAGCACCCATGAATCTAATGTATAATTATTTATGTATTTTATTAGATTTTTTTATTTGAATTCAAAATAGAGAATTATTTATTTATTTATTTTAAAATTTGACAAAAACTCTAGTTCTTGATGCCTGTATTAAAAAAAAGGATTTGATTTGAAAAAAATGGTCTTAATTTAAGATTGAAATGGCTCAAAATGAGCCAACAATTTGATCAAAATGACTGATTTCCCCACTTTTTGGGACAAAAAGGGGTAAAAACATCACTCTAAAGATTGTTGTCTTCAGTTCGGCTCAACATTAGGTACCACCCTCTATTCCATTGTTAATATATCAAGAAAAAAATAAAAAATAAAAAATAAAAAAACCAGTAATCTTCAATTCGTGATCCTAAAAACGATCATGTTTCCAGTAACGACCAGACCATGACGATGTGGAGTTTATTACCCATTTTATAGTCCATGGTGCAATAAACATGGCAAAAGCCAAGACACGGAAAAGCAACGGGTGTGAGAGAGAGAGTTGGCTTGGGTCAAGATTGTAGAGGCTGGTTTTTATAGCACATTTCAAGTTTCATTCCTATATAACCTTGTCAAAAAAAAAAAAATGTCAAAAAAAAGAAAAAGAAAAGGCGAGTGGGAAAATCATTATTAACCTTGCTGGGCGGGGAGAGTTTTGCAATTTTTTGGAATACTTACATGTAGAGAGAGTCATTGTAACCTCGTAGAGGGAGGCAGAGGCGTGCAACGTAAATTTCAAAGAACCTATAGAGCAAACTGGCATCAGTCGTCGGCCCATACGTTGTTCGCAAAATCGCTTGATCTAACCGTCAGGTTAGATCGAAATCGGCCAGTTGCTAATTCTAGTTTTGAGTGGTTAGGGTGATCAACCAGTATTTTAAAAAAAAATTCAAACAAATGTATATTAATTCTCAAATATAAGAAATTTGATTTGTAATGTATTTTTAAATATTCTCTACATTATGGTAAAGATTAAAAAATGTTCTAGTCATTAATATTCACTTTATATTTTTCTATTTTTTAAAAAAAAATTTAAAACTAGCCCTTGAAAAATATAAAATAAGTTAAAGTCTATTTTTCATTAATTTCAACTTAATTTGAATGTGTTTTGTTTTAATCATTTTTTATATGTTTTTTCATATTTTAGTAAAAATTTTTTGTATTTTTTTATTTTGTTCAAAACTTTTTTGACTACCCAAGACTTGCCTGGTTAGAACAATTGAATCGGCCAGTTTACTGATCAGGCCGGTTAAATCGATTCCAAACTTGAGAGAGAGAGAGAAACTACGTAATTTCATAAGAACTGTAGCGAAAGAGGGGCTAATGTGGAAAAAACCGGTCCTTCAAAATCACCATGTTCTTGAGCTCCTATAGTTAACGGGCAAGTTTCTCTCACCTCCTACCACAAAACAGAAACAAGAGATTTAGTTGCCAAAAAATGTTATTGCCAAAGCAAAAACCCAATAAGCATATCCAGCCATGTATAAATGCAGCATCCTCAACACAACCAGGACCCATCCTCTAAAAGTTCCTCCATTCTCTCTCTACCTCTTCCAAAAACCCCACCAAATTTAGAGCAGATTTCATCACCCTCTGTTCAGAAGGTCAGCTTAAGGAGACCCTCTCAAAATTCCAACCTGAAACAGGGTTCGACCCAACAATTTTCTCTCTCCTAAAAAACCGAATTTCTTTCTCTCTCCTCCTTAAGGATGTGTACCATTACAGTCCATTGCTTTAGGAAAACAGCTCCATTCCATTACAGTAACAGGTGGGCTCTCTTCGGATCGATTTCTCTACGACCACCTTCTGACCATGCATTCAAAATGCCAAAGCTTAGACTTTGCCCTGCAAGTATTTGAGAGAATGGGAAGCCCGAACACCATGCCTTTCAATATATTAATCAATAGGTTTTCTCGGAAAGGAGACCTCTCTCTCTAGAACTTTTCAACAAAATGCCTGAGAAAAACCTTGTTTCGTGGAATGCGGTGATTTCAGGATTAACCCAACATGGGTTCCATGAAAATGGCCTGCATTACTTCTCAGAAATGAGGAATTCAGGCTTAATCCCAGACCAGTTTACTCTAGGAAGTGCCTTAAAGGGATGCTCAGGCATAGGAGCTCTGAAACTTGGGCAACAAATCCATGGAAACACAGTAAAGCTCGGGTTTCAATCCAATCTATTTGTGGGTTCTTCTCTTTCTCACATGTACATGAAATGTGGAGTCCTAGATGAAGGAGAAAGAGTGTTTAGAGCCATGCCTATCCATAATGTGGTCTCCTGTAACACTGTAATTGCAGTTGAAGCTCAAAATGGGCAATCTGATAGGGCCTTAGACTACTCCAAAAAGATGAACGCTTCAGGCCTGATGCTTGATAGGGTCACTTTTGTGAGTGTTATAATCTCTTGTGCAGAGCTAGCAACTCTTGGGCAAGGCCAGCAAGCTCATTGCCACCAAGCCATTAAAGCTGGGGTAGACTTGGCTCTATCTCTGAGGAGTTCCCTGGTTGGCATGTATTCAAAGTGTGGGTGTTTGGCTTGATTCTTACCAGTGTTTTATAGAGATTGAAAACGAATGGATACTGTTCTTTGGAGCTCCATGATTGCAGCTTATGGGTTTCATGGATATGGAAGAGAGGCCATTTACCTCTTTGAGAAGATGGTCGGAGAAGGGATCAAGCCCAATGAGATTACCTTTCTTGGTTTGCTTTTTGCTTTTAGCCACAGTGGGCTCAAGGACCATGGGTTGGAGCCAAATTTGGAGCACTACACTTGTATGGTTGGTCTTCTAGGAAGGTTGGGTTTCTTAAAAGAAGCTGAATCTCTGATCCAATCAATGCCATTCAAACCAGACCCCGTTATTTTGAAGACTTTGCTTTCAGCCTGCAAAATTCATGGGGATGCAGAGGTCTCAAAGAGAGTTGCAGAGGACCTTATATTAATGGAACCCAATGACTCTGCACCTTATGTTTTAATCTCAATTATACATGCGGCGTCTAAGAGATGGGAGGATGTTACTAGAGTGAGAAAAGCCATGAGAGACTCCAAGGTGAAGAAAGAGCCGGGAATTTGCTGGATTGAGGTGAAAAACCAGGTTATATGTTTTGGATGGGAAATAAATCACACCTGCAATAGAGAGAGATTCACAGGTTTTCAAAGAAACTCATAGTGGAGATCAAAGGACATGGGTATGAGCCTGATACAAGCTCTGTGCTCCATGACATGGGTGAGGAAGAGGAAGAGGATTGTTTAGCTGATCATAGTGAGAAGATTCCTGTTGCGTTTGGCCTCATGAATTCACCTCAAGGGTGTGTTATTAGGGTTATGAGGAACCTAAGACTATGTATCGATTGCCATGTTGCGATCAAGCTCATCTCTAAGATCACCATGAGAGAGATTGTAGTAAGAGATGTGAGCCGGTTTCATTATTTTAGAGAGGGAAGCTGCACATGTGGAGACTATTGGTGACTTCTGAGAGAGATTGTAGTGAGAGATCCATGTTGGTTTCATTATTTTAGAGAGTGGAGCTGCTCCTGTGGAAATTAATGGTGATTATTGAGAGTTACCCTAGATTGATTATTTGAAGCTTTTCAGGGGATTGGTTGAGAGTATTTGTTCGGCAAAGAAGAAAGGGATCCAGGACAAAGTTATTCCATGTCAATCCACTTCTGAAAAGTTTGCCTCTTACGGTCTGCAAATCTCATATGCCTAAGATAACCATCTTCGAGGACAATCTTTAGTCATAAAAGGAAAAATTCAAAGTTTTGCCCTTACAACCAACCTTTTGATCCTATGAATATTGTTATTGAGAAGACGAATACACATGATAATTAACACCAAACCACACTAGATGTCTTATCCCTGTTGTAATCTTTTACTTGGTTTACTTCGTCTTCTTTTTCTTCTACTTCTTTTTCTTGTCTCTTGTTTTCTCTTCTGAATGATGAGTTCAGCATCTGCACGGTGCAAAGTTCTTTGGGTAATACATAAACCTTGATGGCCGTGCTCCTGTGCCTTTAATGACGGTCGGAGCATGCTTCAAGTCGAATGAGTATAGTTCAATAATTGACCCAATACTTGGGTCTGGTTCCATGTGGAAGGAATGGGAGATCTTTTTGACTATTTCTTCGATGCCAAATGTTTAACGGGGGAGGACACCACTATGGAACAAGTTTCCACTGAGCTTGGCAGGACACTAGAGAAGGAGATGACACTTACAACAATCATGGGTGCATGCACAGCATAGCACCTCTTGGGAACCAGTTATTCACCTCTTCCACATAGAGAGAAGATTGCTATTTGTGTGTCAGATACTCTACTTTTTTATGTAAATTTTTGTGGTTTCTAATAACAGAGCACTAAAGCAAATCTAGCTGTAATGCTATACATCGAAAGATGACGTTAACTATTTTGGAGAAAAAATGATTGTCGCATTTGATCTTCCTCGCTTGTGAAATTCTTTGATTGTGGGTGGTGGCCCTGCCCAGCCTGGCCAGTAGAGGAAACACTGTATAAAACAATATTTTTAAAAAAAAGTACTCAGAGACGAGCACAAAGTTGGACAAGGCTGAGCTGGGCCATGTACCAAGTCCAGGCCCGGCTACGACACTGAGCCAACATTTCAGGAGAGGCCCAGTCTACCGGCCAAATTTAGTGGCCTGTGCTGTTTAGGCCCCGCCCCCAGGCCCATTTCCACCCTTAATAACAGTGACAAGAAACTAAGAATTGTTACATGATTAATGCAATTAATAAACAAGACATTGATACTTGGAACCTGGAAACAAGTTACCATCACTTCAACAACAACATATTGAGCATGCTAGGAACCTTGGAATACCATCATTCATCAGCAGTTCTCCAACCATAGTTGAAACACAATGAATCGAACCAGAGATCATGGCAAACAAATCTTTAATGGATCTTCATCGCAAGGGAGAGTTCTTAAAGGAAACATTGGAATGTTCTCATAGCTCTTTGATTGGAAAAATGGAGTATTTGTCTTCATATGAACAGGATGAGAATAACCCCAAAAACAGAGCAGAACTAGAGGTTCTACTTCATGGAATTCAACCAGCTGCTAATCCATGACCCCAAATTTTGGACTGAAGACAACCTGAAGTCGAGTGAATCTCTTATTGCATAAGGTAACCTCTTAAAGCAGGAGATATAAACCTCCCTGGCATCTCCAAAACATATAATTTTACATTGTTCATGGCACTAAACATGCAAATGGTAGCATCTCAGGCTTCTATAGATGTCAAGAACATAGCTGCCCACCTTATCTCAGGCGGCCATATGAATGTTGCTTCAAAGATGTGAATGGTACTCTCTTGTGACAGTAACTGTCAACCAAATTGCAGTTACTAAAAAATGAGAGCTAGCCATGCAGGCTTTATTTCAAGTGTGCCAATCTTTCTCTAAGCTTAGAATCATAATGTTTTGTCCTCTCCAACTTTAAATGTTAACTATTTACGAAATGGGGTATATTTGTCATCCGAAATCTAACATTAACAAAAAGAGATAGAGATGCATATGTATTCACATGCCCATTGAGGCTTGAGATATTCTATCATCATCATCATTATCATCATCATCCGAGGCCTATCCCAACTATTTGAGGTCGGCTTGCGATATTCTTTCTTGATGGGAATTTCTCTGCCAATTCTCAAGGGCCTTCTGAATCGTGACCTTAGCTCCATGAATCTCTGCATCTGAAAACTTGTGCTTCACAATTCCCAAAGGACCTGGCTGCAATACCTTTATTACGGTTTCCATATCCTGCTCTAGCTGCCTGAACACAAAGCTAACACACTCAACATCTGTATTTCTGTTAATAAAGTTTGAATGTAAGTGAAAAGGATAATTTTCATACAAATGGGATTATAAAAAAGCAGTACCAAAAACCAATTTAACCTGACAAACCATCTTTTATTTCACCATTGCATTTCTCCTGAATCGACAGTAGTGACTTCTAACTTTATGAATGACCAGAGGAACTAATTACAATGTAACAGTAAACAGCCCCCATTTATTTGCGAGATTAATACTTCTCTGATGATCAATAATTGCATTATAAGATCGAAGCACACACGAAAACAAAAAAAGAATATTAACACTCTCGTACATTATTTCAAAATGTCAATGTTATTTCTTTTGTGCAGAAATCAGCTGCCCATACTAAGACATCAAGAAGTCCAGATTCCCCATGTTTATTTTTTGAAAAAAACGATGTCTCCTCCTTTGCCCTCTCCCGCTTTCTTCACCCTCCCCTATTCTCCGTCCCCTAGGAATCCTCTTGCAAGCTTGCTCGACTCTACAATTCCTCTTTAGTGGCCATCTTTCATCCTCAGAGAGATGACCGCAAAGGAATCGAAACCTGGGCCAAAGAGATTTGGAAAGTACCAGAACTCAAGTACAAGCAACTCTCCAATGGGCCTTTCCTCTTCTCATTCCCCTCAGTAGAAGGAGTTGTTCTCGCCCTGAGAACCACTTTCAACGTTCGGTTCCGAGGGGTCCCAGTTCAGTTGTCCAGGTGGACCGCTAACCTGGGGACCTTTCATTGGCAAAAGGTTTGGCTCACGGCCTCCTCTATCCCTCTTCACGCTTGGTGCCTTGACACCTTCAAGGCCATTGGTAACTCTTGTGGGTCCTTTGTGGCCGTCCATTGGAAGTCCATGTAAAATCTGCCTTTGGGCACATTGCACATTGCTGCTCATCATTGACGTACTTGAACGCATCGCATCCCTCCCTTCCTTTGGCTGAAATCGGCAGGAGCCTACTACCAGATTCTCCTTTCCTGGTCCTCTGCCTCACCGCCCGCTCCCAGTTTCGTCACTTTGGGAATCAATTCAAGCCTGTCAAATACTTCCGCCAATCAGAAGCAGTGGAAGCTTGTTGCTAGGAGAAGGCCAGGCCGCGCACAGGGACAACAAAACAATCACCACCCCCATCCACCCCCTCCCAAAGGCAACCCACCTATGCGCCACTCAGCTTCACCTCCTCCACCCCCACCACCACCTCCTCCCACCGTACCGTCTTGCATCGTCCTAGGAGAATTGGAGCTGACTCCTCGAGCACGAGAACCCATGCCCCTCGCTCCACCTACCGCCATCAACACCGCTCAAGTTGACACGTGCCACTCTTTGGTCTTCCCGGGCCGGGCTAGGCCGGCAACCTCATTTAATACCCCCACTCTTTAGCCACCTCCCATTGATGACAGCCATCCTTCTCCTCCAAAGGACACCTTTACCTCCCCACCATACCTCGTTATCCTGCCCTTCCCGTTGCTGGCTTGGGACAATCGACACTTGTCCCCCACCCTCACCTACCACCACGCTGTCAACATTTTTCTTCATCACCACTTCCTCAAAACTCCAATCCATCTTTCTCTCCTTCTCCCCTTCCCCCAATAATCTTCGGGACTGTTCCCCTCTCCCTGTACTTCAACGCATCATCCCACCCTCGCTCTCCGTCCACGCTGTCAGCCCTTGTGTCTTCCCAACACGAGCCACCCCTACCTACACAGCCCAGCCTCGACATTCCCACCTCATCATGCCTTCCCCCCCTGCCATTGGTAACTCTTGTGGGTCCTTTGTGGTCGTCCATTGGAAGTCCATGTAAAATCTGCCTCTGGGCACATTGCACATTGCTGCTCATCATTGACGTACTTGAACGCATCGCATCCCTCCCTTCCTTTGGCTGGAATCGGCAGGAGCCTACTACCAGATTCTCCTTTCCTGGTCCTCTGCCTCACCGCCCGCTCCCAGTTTCGTCACTTTGGGAACCAATTCAAGCCTGTCAAATACTTCCGCCAATCAGAAGCAGTGGAAGCTTGTTGCTAGAAGAAGGCCAGGCCGCGCACAAGGACAACAAAACAATCACCACCCCCATCCACCCCCTCCCAAAGGCAACCCACCTATGCGCCACTCAGCGTCACCTCCTCCACCCCCACCACCACCTCGTCCCACCGTACCGTCTTGCATCGTCCTAGGAGAACTGGAGCCGACTCCTCGAGCACGAGAACCCATGCCCCTCGCTCCACCTACTGCCATCAACACCGCTCAAGTCGACACGTGACACTCTTTGGTCTTCCTGGGCCGAGCTAGGAATCTTCGGGACTGTTCCCCTCTCCCTGTACTTCAACGCATCATCCCACCCTTGCTCTCCGTCCATGCCGTCAGCCCTTGTGTCTTCCCAACACGAGCCACCCCTACCTACACGGCCCAGCCTTGGCATTCCCACCTCATCATGCCTTCCCCCCTTGCCTACCTCGAAGGTTACCCTGCCTCAACCGCCACCCCACTCGCCTGGTCCTTTCCTCTCCCCTTTTCTAACTGGACCCTGGCCTTCACCTCCATCCTCGCCTCTGCTCATAGATTTCGAGGAAGAGGCAGAAGCATGACTCAGAGGAGACACTGCACCATCTCCTTCCCCAGAGAAGGTGGACACTAACATGGAGGGTATCCCGGCTACTAATCTTATCTCAACCGCCCTTGTCATTATAAGCTGCCCTGCAGCAGATCCCCTCAGCAGCAACCATGTTTTCATCTCTATCCCAATCCCTATTGGCCTGCCTCCGCCCAGCTCTATCCTCCTCTCTTCACCACCCCCTCTTTTACAGGATGCACCCTCACCCTTTATCCTTTCGGGATCTCCTTTTCTCACCCTTGCTGCTCTCCTAAGCCCCTCTTCGCTTCTTGAGTATACTGCCACCTTGACACCCTGACACTCTTATCCCCCCTTTCTACCACCCATACCTTCGCCCCTTCACCCACTGCCACATTGCTACCCCCAGGGAACAACCCTCCTACAACAGGTCCCTGCCCCAACCCTACTTTCTCTCCCTCTTGCATCCCCATCAACCCCTTCCCTTCACATACCCTCTCTCAACCCACCCCAGCCTAGTTTGGCCGAAAAAAAGAACAACCCTTCTACTCCCTCGTCTACACTGGGAGGTTCACCAGGGCTGAAAGCCCTCTCTCCGAACCCCCTTCGGGCTCTGGTATGTTTAGACCCACCCCTGCAAACGAGTTGCCTTCTCTAGGGCTGCAGGGATTACCCTCTCTTATGACTGCCTCGGTTTCATCTTCTTATTCTCTCCTGTCTGTCGACACAATGGGGGACCCTCTCTCGCCACCGTCAGTGGACTCAGACTACGTCAATGGCATCAACTGTGGCCAAGGAAGGATTTTGGACATCATGTAAGTAATGGGCTTCCCCCATTTAGGACCAGATGCCCAATTCCATGAATTCTTCTCGGCTGGTGTTCAATCGCGTTTTCGGGCAAGCAAGAAAGGAAATGAGAACTTACCAACCTTTCTTGCACTATCAATTATGATAGAGTCTCCACTAGTACCCCCTCTACCTCCAGAACCACCTCACAAGCTCCCACTTTGGGCCAATTGGTGAGACCTTCCCTTAGGAATTCTCCTCTTTCTCTCTCACCCTTACGTTGATCCTCACTTGGAATATTCGTGGTCTCGGCCAGGGTCAAAAAAAGCAGGCAGTGAGAGATCTCTGTTTCAAACACCAGCCCACAGTTCTGGGCCTCACTGAAACTACGTCACCCCATCTTACCCTATTCCAGGTTAGGCAGATATGGGGACGCCGACCCTGTCAGTGGGTCTCTTTACCTGCGGAAGGGGCATCGCGTGGCATCTGGGACCCCACTGCTCATTCCCTAACCTCCTCTCACACTACGAGTTTTTTGATGACCTTACTTTTGTCAAGGATCTCCGATGGCTTGCTTTGGAAGTTCACAGCCGTATACGGGCCCAATCAAGACTCGCTAAGGCACCGTCTTTGGGACAAGCTCAACAACATCTCCCTCCCACACCCCATTTGGTGCTTAGAGGAGGACTTCAATGTCACAAGATGGTCCTTCGAGAGGAATTCTTCTTCTAAAATCACTCCAACCATGACGGTCTTCTCAGACTTCGTTAGCCTTAAAAATCTCCTTGACCTAACCACTCAAGGATCACAATATACATGGTCCAACCACTCCACCATCCCGTCCCTCTCTAAACTTGACATGTTCCTCGTCTCTATTGACTGGGACTCCTTCCTTGGGACCCATTCTTTAGCCTTACCCAAGCCCACCTCCGATCATTGTCCCCTCCTCCTGGACACCAACCCTGCTTAGAGAGGTGCCAAACCTTTTAGGTTCGAATGGGTTTGGTTGGAAGAACGCACACCTTCACCTAGCTACTCCCAGTCTGGTGGCAGGATTTGTTAGCCTTGGTCCAAGGCTGGGCTGGTTTAAGAATTCAACACAAACTCCAACTACCCAAGGCTTGCCCCAAATCTTGGAGTACAAGCCTCTTGGGGTTCCTCAGCCCCCAAAAAAGAGCCACCCTCGAAGCCATCCAGGCTCTCGACATCACCAAGGAATCCAGGAACTTATTGGAATCAGAATTCCTTCAAGAATCCAACTAAAGTCTCTTTACCAATCCCAACTGAAGCAACAAGAAATATTATGGTATCAACGATCCAGAATAAAGTGGTTGAAGGCCAGGGACCTCAACACAGGCTTCTTCCATAGAACAGCCAACTGTAGGCGTACAGATAACACCATCTCACACTTGTTAGTGGAAGATTACCTTATAGACCAACCACCTGATGTTGAGCACCACATCCTAGCCTACTTCAAAAACCTCTTCCCTACCCCGGTATGGCCCAAAACTCCCATGGGGGATCTATATTTTTTGGTCTTACCACTTGAAAAAGCCTCTTAGCTAGAAAGACCATTTTCTGAGTATGAAATCTTGTATGCCTATCTCAATTAGCCTCAGACAGAGCTCCAGGGCTTGACGGATATCCCATTGCCCT